ATAACCCTGAGACGATTCTTTCTTTTAGACCAAAGTCTTCCAGAACGAATCCATCTATAATGCTCAGGGATCTCCCTGTACAAATATCTCCTTGCTTCTACATCATTACGATTCAAAGTGAAAAATTCAGTGAGCATTGTCTTGTTAAGTCTCTCGTCTGTCAGAATATTTGCAATAGTCTGGTCAGATTGAAATCGAACTTGATGCATATTAGGAAGATGTATTTGTAAGCGCTCCACAGTTGGGTATATCCGATTGATTACAAACTTGAATATCCTCCACAACGCCTCTGGTGCACAAACCCATCTTGCATCAACAAACTGTCGTATTTCATCACAAACTAGATCTGGCTGAACCTCGAGTGCCACTCTGTCTGGACCTTTGTAAACATACTTATATAAATATTTGACGCTTTTTATGCTTGCACATATTTCAACATTAATGTGGCAGTCATACCTCAACAACAACCAAGGATTATATGGAATAACCCAACTATTATCAACCGTTATATTTCCTCGTCGATCAAGTGGGACAGGCATGCGATTTCCTTGCCTTCGATAAATTGGATATGAATCATTCCCTTGAATAGTGGATGCAGCAAATGATTTAGGGTAATTTCTTTTACACCTTCCATTTTTCATACAGGGAGATTGTGGATTTTGAATTCCACATGGACCGTGAATCATATGTTTTAATACCACATTGTAAAGTTGAGGCTCTTCATGTTCATTTGGTATTTCAGCTTTAACAATTTGGTCATAATCATCAGGGTTATTGAGCTTATCATCTTCATCTAACACAACCAACATATGCACATGTGGAAGACCCCGTTTTTTAAACTCAATAATGTATGCATAAGCAACAACAGTACCTAATACCCCTTTCCCATTGATGTCTTCTTTTAGTTCCTCTAATTTTGCACGAAATACTCTAGTGAGTAAGTCGGGACGATCTTGTGGCGTTTGTCCAGGGAGTAATTCTCTCTTAATTTCTTCCCAATTTGGGTTGCATGTCATGGTAATGAATAGATCTGGCCTGCCAAATCTTTGAACCAAAGTCATGGCATCTTGATACCGTTGGTACATGTCACGTGGGCTTCCAACAAAGGATGATGGCAGAATGGTTCTACGACCGATGTTACCTGATCCATTGTCATTTGTGCTTAATAAATGTTTTACACAAACTTGGAACTGTATATTTATATTTTAAAAAAACAATTTATATTAAATATGTACCTGCATTATTCACCCCTCTATTTAAAGAGTCTTGGAGTCCTTGGTAAAGCTTAGCTCGTATTTTTTCTTGATTTGAACGCATCCATCTAAGTTTCTGAGATTCAATTTTTACCTAATTATCTACAATATATTGTTGTAAGAGACGACCCCCTCGAAGCAAAAGTGATGATCCACCCTCACGTATCTGCAAATCAGTCTTTAGCCGGTCATTTGGATGTAATATTTCAATGTTTAGTTGAAAAAGAAAAATTATATTTCAAGTACAAACCTGTAACATGTAAGCATAATAGTCGCAACATGATACACCTCTTCCGTTATCATCATGAGTATTAATATCCCACCCATATGTTCCGTACGGTAACAATAATGGATATTGTAGTGGGTCATAGAATCCAACACAATCTTGGACGTTCCAAAGTCTTCCACTAATTGTCTCAACAATAATATCTCTTCCATTTCGATTCACCATATCATCCCCTCCTACTATAATTGCAGCAACTTGTGATGCCGATGGTAAATTGTATTGACGTCGATCAGAAGGTTGCTCTTTTATAATGAGCCTGCACCTTGGCAAATCTTGGAGTTGTCCGAGACTTCTTAATGTATGCACAAAAGGATTGTGTTGATTCAAAATTCGTTGTATCTTCTCAACCACAATTCTATCTAAAACTTTACTTTGAGTCATTCTGTTTTCAACTTCATGCTCGGTTTCGTATATGTAAGCCTGTAGAAATCGCGGTGTAGTACCTTCATTCGGTAAAAGTCCACCAATTTTATGATATATTGCACCTTGTGCACGAAAGGTATAAATCCCACGTCCACCAAAATTTATTCTTTCATCAACATGTACACCCATTGAAGTGAATGAAAAAACATTGTTGTAGACACGAATGTTTTGTCTGAAGAGTCTGCCCTCAGTTGTTTGGTCAGAGAAAAGAGCCAGCATTTCTGGTGGAGATTGTATATGAGGTAGAACAATTTTTCCACCAAAGCAACACATACTAAATGTCTCTCGGGAGAATAATCGCGCATTGCACCTCGAACATGTGGTGGAAGTTGGTAATTGACATCCTAGGACACCCATGTTCTCATTATAATTTTTGGCACAATTGTAGTTTCTCATCGCTCTCCTTACATGTTGCACATCATGCATGACATTGTTGTGTTGGCCTTCACGAAGATGTAATGTATCCTCAGCCACTTCTGTTTTGTATTAATCAATATTGGTTTTTCAGTATAAGATTTTAGTTATAAACTTAAAATTGTGTAGTACTAATGTGTTTAAAATAGGTATCTACTGAGCTCACCATTGGAAGCAGAAAGTAATTGAAGACCATCAGGAAATTGCGGCCGATCTGAACGTGCCAACTGTCTTATATGTGTTAAACGCATTCTAGTAGATTGTTCACCGGGATTGTTGATATGCGAAGCAACCGTTGAACTCTCCCCTTCGTGTTGAACTTGTTCTATTAAATGTATTGAATTTAAGTTTTATGAGTGTAAAATGTCAAGATTTGTATTAATTATATTCACTACTTGTCTATAATTCAATACCGTAAAATTAACATTGAAAATACACTAAGCGTACAAATATTAATTTGATGAATCCAACAAAAAACTTTTTGGCAAGTTGTCAAGTCAAGCACAAACTGTTAATGCATGAAATACCTGGATGTCGCTCTTCTATATTACTGGGGCCTCCTTCAGTGTTACAATCACGTACATTGTTCATTATTGGTCGCTTTCCTTGAGCTATTGCACGCCGGCGAGCTAGATAATGTCGACGTTGCGAAGAACTCATTGATTGTCGCCATTCTCTTGTACGGTTGTGTGCATGCTCCATTAATAACTACAATATTTATTAGTATTAGGCAATTAACATTAATTTAATTATCTATATATATAAAGCAAAATTGTATAAGGGTCGTCTATTATATGTAAAGACGACGGTTTTTTTATAAAAAGGGTCGTCTATTATGAAGTAAAAACGACCCTTTTTATATGAAAAGGGTCGTCTATTATATGTAAAGACGACCCTTTTTATATGAAAATGGTCGTCTATTATGAAGTAAAGACGACCCCTTTTATATGAAAAGGGTCGTCTATTATGAATTAAAGACGACCCTTTTCATATAAAAAGGGTTGTCTATTATATGTAAAGATGACGGTTTTTTTTAAAAAAGGTCGTCTATTATGAAGTAAAGATGACGGTTTTTTTTAAAAAGGGTCGTCTATTATGAAGTAAAGATGACGATTTTTTTTTAAAAGGGGTCGTCTATTATGAAGTAAAGATGACAGTTTTTTTTTAAAAATGTCGTCTATTATATGTAAAGATGACAGTTTGTTTTTAAAAAGGGTCGTCTATTGTGAAGTAAACATGACGTTTTTTTAAAAACAAGATTTAACGGTTATTTCAACTTTGATTTTGATGATTTTTTATAGCTACACTCCTTGACCCTATATGAATACAATGACTGCATTCAATCGTCAATTTAAAATATTTAAACTAGTGGATACCACAAAATCTTATGTTATATTTAATCAAAGTATAAATAAACTCTTAATTGTTAGTGAATATATTATTTTGATGGCATATGCATTCTACGAAACTAGTTTCAACGATCCAA